CTCGGTGATGGTGTACTTGCACTCGCCGAGCGTGTTCCACAGCTTGATCGTCTTGTCGCGCGAGCCCGACACGATCTGCCGGTTGTCCGCCGAGAAGGCGACCGAGAGGACGTCCTTCTCGTGCGAGACAAACCGGCGGGTCGTGGAGCCCGTGTTGAGGTCCCAGAGGCGGAGGGTGCCGTCCCACGAGCCGGAGAGCGCGAACTGGCCGTCCGACGAGATGGTGACGTCCTGCACGTAGTGGCTGTGGCCGCAGAGCGACTTGGCCGGCACGCCCTCGCCGCCGGCGAGGTTCCAGACGATGACCGTCTTGTCGCGCGAGCCCGAGAGGAGGACGTCCGACTGCTCGATGGTCGTCGCGATGCACGTGACCCAGTCGGAGTGGCCCTTGAGCGTGGAGCGGAGGTTGAGCGTCTCGGCCATTGCTGCGGCGGGGGGCGAGGGAGCTGGGAGAGAGCCCCGCCGCGCAAGGGACGCGCCCGCCGCTGGCAGGGGCGAGGGGGCGGGACGCGGGGCGGGGTGGTGGTAGCAGGGGCACGCGCAGCGGCGCGGGACCGTAGACCGCGCTGCGGCACGCGGGTGCCGGCAGGAGGAGGCGGAGGGGAGGCGGGAGCAAGAGGCAAGACCTGTTTAGGATATGGACACGGGTGAGCAGAAAAAAAGCAATTTTATTTTTTATTTTTTTTATGTTCCTTTAGTTTATCTCTTTTCTGTCTTTGGTTGCTTCCGCGTGCTGATGAGGCGAACCGCGGAAAGAAGAAAGAAAATCGTGCCTTTTTACGACACGCCGCGCGTTTTGACTATCAGCATTTGGCGCGAGCCACGAGAGCCACTGACGTCCACGGGGGAACGCTCTCATGACGCTCCGCGCCCACCTCCTCGAGGGTCGCGAGGCACAACCGGATCCTCCGCCGCAGCGCCCACGCCCGCCCGAGGTCATCGTCATGGGCTTCGAGGAGGCGGACGGGGACGACCAGCGCGGCTGCTGCACTCTCCCGCTCAAGAGCCGGTGGCTGCCGCGGCCGCACGAGTGCATCGACGCGTGGTGGCGGCCTGCCTTCGACGCGCTGGCGGAGGGTGCGCGAGGCGAGGCCTTGATCCTCACCGAGGAGGGGAGGTAGGTAGAGCCGCGGCATGCGCTGCTGCGGCTCGTGGCGGAGGGCGGCGACGACGGCGACGACGGCGACGACGGCGACGGCGGCGACGGCGAGGAGGGCCTGGTGGTGGAGGGCGGCGGGGTCGGCGGCTCTGTGGTCGCCTCGGAGGCGCTGATTTCCTGTGCGTGGCTGAGGCAGGCTGCGGACTTGTCCTTCATCGCGCCCTCGATGCTATCGAGGTTGGGGGTGGTCGAGGCGCGGCGACTCGGGGTCCGGCGCTTCACCGTCGACGTCCTGCTGCGCTGCCTGGCCCACTGGCAGAGGACCACCGGCGCGACCGACCGCTCGCCGGAGACGTTGCTGGGGAGCGTCGCGCCAGGCGGGGAGGGCGAGTTGCCGCAGTGGCTGCCCCTGCTCTACGACTTCTTGCGGCGGCGCCTCCGGCCGAAGCACGTCTCCGCCCTCCGCTCGTTGCCGCTCTTCTGCACCGCTGCACCGGACGGCACTCGCACCCTTGCGTCAGCGGCGGCCGCGCCGCCGCTCGTGCCGCGGCGGCCATGTGCCATGCCGTGTCGCTCAGCGTCTCGCTGGCGAGCAGCCGCTCGTAGCACGCCGCCGCGAGCTCGCACTCGCCCAGCTTGAGGCGCATGTTGACATGCGAGAGGATCGTCGTCGGACGCGGGTCGAACCCGCTCGCCTGCGCGAAGAGCGAGGCCGCCTCGGCGGTGTCACCGGCCGCGTTGGCCGCGAAGGCCTGCTTGGTCAGCCGGTCGTGCATCTCCGCTCGCTGCGCCGCCGAGTTGACGTCCGCCGAGCCCTGGTCGAGGTGTCGAGGCCCGGTGTCGAGGTTGTCGAGCTGCTGTCGAGGCCTGTCGAGGGATAGAGGTGTCGAGGCCTGTCGAGGCCTGTGAGGCCCGAGGCCTGTCGAGGCCTGTCGAGGCCTGTCGAGGCCTGTCGAGGCCTGTCGAGGCCTGTCGAGGCCTGTCGAGGCCTGTCGAGGCCTGTCGAGGCCTGTCGAGGCCTGTCGAGGCCTGTCGAGGCCTGTCGAGGCCTGTCGAGGCCTGTCGAGGCCTGTCGAGGCCTGTCGAGGCCTGTCGAGGCCTGTCGAGGCCTGTCGAGGCCTGTCGAGGCCTGTCGAGGCCTGTCGAGGCCTGTCGAGGCCTGTCGAGGCCTGTCGAGGCCTGTCGAGGCCTGTCGAGGCCTGTCGAGGCCTGTCGAGGCCTGTCGAGGCCTGTCGAGGCCTGTCGAGGCCTGTCGAGGCCTGTCGAGGCCTGTCGAGGCCTGTCGAGGCCTGTCGAGGCCTGTCGAGGCCTGTCGAGGCCTGTCGAGGCCTGTCGAGGCCTGTCGAGGCCTGTCGAGGCCTGTCGAGGCCTGTCGAGGCCTGTCGAGGCCTGTCGAGGCCTGTCGAGGCCTGTCGAGGCCTGTCGAGGCCTGTCGAGGCCTGTCGAGGCCTGTCGAGGCCTGTCGAGGCCTGTCGAGGCCTGTCGAGGCCTGTCGAGGCCTGTCGAGGCCTGTCGAGGCCTGTCGAGGCCTGTCGAGGCCTGTCAAAACCATGCTTGACCGTGTCGAGGGGTGTCGAGGGTGTCGAGGGTGTCGAGGGTGTCGAGGGTGTCGAGCGTGTCGAGCGGGTGTCGAGTGTTGTCAAGAGGCGTCTGAGGTATATCGAGGTGTCCAAGGTGGCAGGATGCAGTTGCAGCCCATCAACAAAACTTGGGCAGCAGTTGCAAAGCTGTTTCATCCCTTAGTTGCAGCCTCAGTTGCACCCTGTTGATGTAGCACAACCTGAGCACAACCAGTATAATCTCCGCCTCCACCTTCCGGGTGCGGGGGGGGGGGGGGGTGCGGTGCGTGCGCGTGGCGTGGGTAGGGGTCAGATTCTGCTCACGACTCGAGCACTACTATATTGTGGTGAGCGTGACGCCTCGCTAGCCGCTGTGGCTCGGGCAAAGCCGCGCTCGAGCTTGTTGATTTCGCGCTCTGAAAAGCGCCCTGACTCCTTGCCTTCGTCCTCCATGCGGCGGAAGGACATCGTCCCTCCCCCGTAGCCAACACACGCCTACAGCGTAAGTACATCGCAGCCAGGGCGTGAGTGCGATATTCGGAGCTTCACGCGAATACGAGGGCTACGAACGAATACCGCCGAATGCGTGTCCTCCCTCGAGTGCCAGTATGCAAACAGGTTGTATTCCGCTTCTGGGGGCGCGCCATCGCCCCCACAAAGGAGCTCACAACGACGAGGAGGAGGTGCACCAAGTTCAAACCCTCTGGCGCGGGCGCCGCCGGAGGCGGGGGCGGCGGCGGGGTTTCGGCGGCGGCGGCGGCGGGTTCGTCGGCGAAGGCGATGACGGCAACGACGGCGACGGCGATGGCGCCAGCGGTGGCGAGGGCGGCGGGTTTGGTGAGGGCGGTAATGGGGACGGCGGGTTTGGTGAGGGCGGTAATGTGGGGACGGCGGCGGCGGCGAGGGTGGCGGCAAGGGCGGCGGGGGCGACCGAGCGCAGCGGCGGTGAAGGAGGTGGCGGCGAGGGCGGCGAAGGCGGTGGTGGCAAGGAATTGGGAGGTGGAGGTGAAGGAGGCGGCGGCGAGGGAGGCGGCGGCAAGGGAAGCGGCGGCGAGGGAGGTGGAGACGAGGGCGGCGGCGATGATGGGGGCGGCGGCGAGGGCTGCGGCGGTAATGGAGGTGGTGGCGAGGGAGGCGGCGGCGCTGGCGGCGGATCGATGAACCAGAACGTGAAAATGTCAAAGGGCGGGGGCGATGGCGATGGCGGCGATGGCGGCGATGGCGATGGCGATGGCGATGACGGTGGCAGATGAGGCGGCGGCGAGAGCGCCGGCGGGAGAGGGGAGGGTGGGGTTGGCGCCGGAGGGCCCGGTGGCGGGGGCGGCAGGCATGGCGACGCTGTGAAGAGGGTCCAGCCGCTCTCAAGGCTCGCGGGCTGCTGGCGTCGTTGGAGGGCGGGCAGCAGCCGCAGGACCCGTCGCTCGACTTCATGACGAGGTGGGTGCCGCATGCGTCGGGCGTACTGGCGAGGTAGAGCGTCGCGCACTCTTCGATGGTCGCCGGGTTGCTGCCATCGGCCTTCTCAAACTCCGCATTCGGCACCCGGCTGCCGCTGCAGTACATCGGCGAGCCGATCTCGCAGGGCTCGACTCGAGAGCGAGAGGCGACGCACCGCCGACCTCGAGTCTCGGCTCGAGGCGTCGGAGTTGCGCACAGCGGCGCTCGAGGCGAGGCTCGAGGCGAAGGGCGGCGACGACGCCGTCGAGGATGGCGACGCCGTGCTGATCGGCGACGACTACGTCCTCGGCGGAGGAGGAGGTGGCGGCGGCGGCGCGGCGGCGCGCGGTGTGTTGTCGGAAGGCGGCGGCGGCGGCGGCGGCCAGAGGCCGGGAAGCTTGCTGCGCTGCCTGCTGCACTGGGTTCGCGACCCGGAGGAGGAGGGTGAGGGCGGCGGCGGCGGCGGCGCGCAGCTGGTGCGATCGGAAGGGGACGTGTATTGCCTCAAGCTGGTTGCCGGCGTCCCTTCGGGCGAGGGGCCACGCGACCGGAAAGGCGATCCGCACGGGAGAGGGGCGATGGTCTTTGCCGGCGGGCGGGGCCACTACGAGGGTGAGTGGGTGCACGGGCAGATGCAAGGGAGCGGCGCGTATGTCGAGGCGAACGGGGAGAGTGTGGGCCGTGAGTTCAGAGTTGAGGAAAAATCCGGGGACGCGACCCACTTCGCCACAGACGGCCCCGCGCCTCACCGCTAGGTGACAGCGGCACGGCCGCAGCTCGTGTGCAACACTCCGGACCCTCCGCTGCGAGGCCGAGGGGACAACGAGGTGGCGTCGAGGCACTCCTTAGCTCGAACGACGGCCAAAAGAAGTTTTGTGCCGCGCGACCACCCCGTCTATTCCGTCTTACTTCTTACTCGGTCTCCTCAATCCTAACCCCTCACACCTTCCTATGCACTTCAGCAGCTCACCAGCCTCGCCGACGACGCAGGAGCAGTTGCCGCGTGCAAACACGGAGGACGCTGACGGCTCCTTCCCCGTCAGCGGCGCCGACACGGCCGGCGCGCTCGTGAAGGGCCGACGTGCGTCGCCGAAGAGCTGTCCGTGCTCCCCGCGCCCAAAGGCCCACACAGTGCGCGCCTCGTCGAGTGCGATTGTGTGGTCCGCGCCGCACGCCACGCCGACCACCTTCGTGCCGAGCAGCTTGCGCACCGGCTGCGGCGACCGCTGCCACACGGCACCCTTGGCCCACAGCAGGTCTTGGCCCAGCTGCAGCCATCGGTCCGAGCCGCACACGAGCAGCTCACCCTGGTCGCTGACGAAGGCCGAGTGCGCGTCGCCTACCGCGGCCGCCACGATGCGGCCCGAAGCCGTCGGCAGCGCCACGCTTCTCATCTCATAGGTGTTGCATCTCCGATCGACGGTGCCGCAGCCAAGCTGGCCAAACCGGTTGCCGTCGGGCGATGTCGCCCACGAGACAACCACGGCGAGGTCGCGTGCAATGCCTATGCAGTGGCTAGTGCCGCAGGCCGGAGGCGCGCGCAGTCTGGGCAGCACGGGCGGCGGCGGAAGCTGCGAGGCGACGTTGGAGTCGTCGCACTGCACAGAGCCGTCGGGCTGCATCACGTAACCACGTCCGTTTGCATCGACAGCTCGGGCCATGGTCTGCGCGGCGCCTCGTTGGATCGCTGGGAGGCTCGCTGAGGAGGCGGGAAGGTGGGCGGGCGGGCTCGGAGGGAAGACACTTCTCACGCGAAAGAAGAAAAACTTCGCACAGCTTCTGCCCTCCAAGTGCTCCAAGATGACACTTGGAGTCACAGGCACGACGAATGACAGGCGCCTCTCACCCCGCCGCTCGCGCCGACAGCCGCGACGAGACGTGCAGCAGAAGGTGTCTCAAGTGCTTCCGCGGAGTGCCTCGAAACGTGTCTCAAGCCGAATCGTACGTCTTCAATCATAATAAGCAGAGTACCACCCATAGCCGTACCAGGGAAGAGTGAGAGAGGTGAGGGGGGCGAGAGTCGAGAGAGTAGAGAGAGTAGAGAAGTGAGCTCTGAATAGATCTTATCAGGGCCAAGGGTGGAGAGAGCGTGCATGCCGACACGACGGACCGCACAGCCCATGCAGGCGTGGTGACGGCGACCAAGCTAGACCCCGTTGGCAGCCGCCGTCGGGTGGAAGAAGAAGGCGGTGTACTCGCTGTCCGGCTGGTAGGGGACGTGCGTGGCGGTAATCGGCGGGGAGATCTGGCACTCGCCGGGCCCGCCGCCCTCCTTGTACTGGCAGCAAAAGTCCTTGCCGGCATAGCCCAGGAAGAACTTGTGGTACTGCGCGTAGCTGAGGCACGTCTGCTGGCAGGCCGAGACGCTGTCCTCCTCCAGCTGCAGCGTGTGCATCGACGCGGGGACGTCGGGGCACTTGGCGCCGCTCTGCTGCTGCGACGGCTGCCAGACGCCGTTGAAGGCGAAGCCGGGCTCGACGCCGTCCGGCCCGTTCAGGTGGAAGCCGGGGTTCGTGTTTGTCATCTTGGGTACGTAGCCGCGAGAAGTCGCGTCCGTGTCGGCGCCGACGAGGCTGTCGATGGCAGCCACGAAGCCGTCTGCGGCGGCGACGAGGCCACGAGGAGAGGAGGGCGGAGAAGGAGGAGTCGCACCCGCCTGCTCTGCTTCGTTGCCGTCGCCCATCATCATTGCCGCCATGCCTGCCATCGGATGGCCCTGCGCAGCGAGTGCGACGCCCGCTAGCTCATTGTGGCCCGAGACGAGAGCCGCGCTCGCAAAGAGAGCGCTGGCAACATCGTCGTGCTCAGGGCTAGTCGGCACGTGTGGCACCGGGCGTAGGCCCGGGACGTTGGGGTGGAAGCCAGGCAAAGTTGTGGCGGGGAGCAAACGGCTGGTCGGCTGGTCCTCGTCGCCGCCGAAGGAGCCACCGTTGCCGCCGTTGCTGGGCTCGAAGCCGCCGTTCTGCTCCTGCTCCTCGTCGCCGCCGAAGGAGCACCGTTGCCGCCGTTGCTGGGCTCGAAGCCGCCGTTCTGCTCCTGCTCCTCGTCGCCGCCGAAGGAGCCACCGTTGCCCTGCTCGATGCCTTGAGCGGGAACTTGCAGAGCAACACCACCCTCTGACGCCGGGAACTGCAGAGCGCGTCCGTCTGGCACGTCGACGACGGGCACGGGCGCCGCGCAGGCGGTCGCCACGAGGACGATTAGGAGTCGTGAGTGGTAGAGCATGATGGGCGCTCGAGACGAGAGGCGCGACGTCTCGGGGACGCACGAGCTCGGACTTGGACTTGCGGCCACGTGGGAATCCAATCCGCAAATCCAATCGAAAGCAGAAGGCCAAGGGAATGGCAGAGTCGAACGGCGTCTCTGCCTTGAGGGAGTGCCCTCAACGCACCCTCTACGGCCTCTACGGGCGTAGCTTCCGGAGCGTGCAGGGACGCGAGCAGTCACTTACTTGCTTGCTTGCTCTGCACACAGGGATTTTAAGGAGAGGAGTGTGGTGCTAGCCGTCGCCCACCCTTGGGGTGTCTGCCTCTTCCTATCTCTCTTCGCAGTCTCTCGGCGCAAAGGAGGCGTGCGAGACCGCGGTGGCGCGCGGGCACGCCTTCGCCGCGGACCAGCTCCCGCGCATGCTCGAGAGCTGGAAGGTGCCGCAGAACGGCTGGAACTACAACGAGGTGCCCACGCGCCCCGCCACGAGATGCCCTCGAGATGTCCTCGAGATGTCCTCGAGATGCCAGCCGCCGCGAAAAGTGCGGCCGTGTGGCGGTGCCAGGATCCGATGTTGATCGCCCGAGAGGCTGGTCAGTGTTGCGGGAGCGCCCCTCCTCTCGAACGCCTTTAACCTCCCTCCGCCCCCTCCCCCGCCTTGCACCTCCGCAAAAGGTGATCGTCGACGGCATCGCATTCTCGGCCGCGGCGCCCGCCTCCATCCTCGCCTTCTTCGTGACCCCCTGGAACTCCCACGGCCCCGCCGGCCAGGCGCGCTCCTCTCTTCTCGCACCTCCCCGACACACGTGCCATCCACGCAGCTCCCCCCCCCTCGGCTTGCCGCATCTCACCTCTCATGTCTCGTGCCCCGTGCCGCCAGTTCTCGAGGGCCGCAGGCCGGTACGGCGCCGCGGGGCCGCCCGTGCTCTGCTTCGACCCGCGGAGGTACGCCTCGCCCTTCTCCGAGGCGGTGCAGCGAGGCACCGGCTGGAGTTGCTAGCACTCTCGGGGATGTGTAAGAGCATCCTAGAGACAGAAATATGTGCCCGGCCTGTCGCAGGCCTGAAGCATGCGCCAGTCTACGTCGCCCCGCGGTGTGCGCAGAGGGTGCTCCCGCCTGAACCCTGATGTATATTGGTTTTTACTGGTGGCACTTGTGGCATGGACGCATGTATGTGGGCACAATGGCAATTCAACATGACATGGACATGTGGCATGATGTGCCGGCGATGATCTCATCACGAACATCTCATGCATGCCGACACAAGACTCAGACATGGTCATGGACACATGGTAGGTACATACGTGGACTCTGAAACACTGGTCACTGCAGCACACGGCTCAGTCCTCAGAGCCCTCACACAGTAGACTCTTCCACATGAGCCGTCCTCCCTGTCTCCTCCACCATGGCGACTCGAGACTCGCGCCCCTCGCCGTGCACCTGACTGAAGATGAGACGCCTCGCCCAACCGTTGAACTCGGCGAAGCTCCCAAAGCTCTCCTCGATGACAGACAGCAGCGCCTGCCTGTCCTCTACCCTCGCGCAGCGGGCCTTCTCCGCGTCAAACGAAGCAAACGACGCGGTGACGTCGGAGAGGGTCGCGCGAGTCGACTCGTCGGGGGGTCTGTCGGTCGCGGCGCGATCTGGCTGCCGCGCGGACGGCTCGGCGAAAGGCAGCACGGTGATGCGCTCGAGTGGCGCGCCCATCTTGAGAAAGGCGAAGAGCTCCATGACGCACCAGAGCCGGCTGCTGTACGTCGGCCCCGCGAGGACGAGCAGCCGGTCGCAGCCCGCCAGGAAGATGGGCAGGCACGCGAGCGCCTCCTGCACGTTTCGCTGGTCGATGCAGAGCTTGTCGAGCCAGACGGTGGGCGGCCGGCCGTGCTCCTCCTCGAAGGCCTCGGCCCACGCGCTCAGTGCGGCCCACTTTGGCCCGGGCGGGTCGCTCCACGAGTGAGAGATGAAGGCGTCGCACTGGCCCATGGCTCGCGGCTCGCTGCGCCACTGGCCGCCGTGCGGTTTAGCCGCCTCGCAAACACCGCCGCCGTCGCTGCCGCCCTGAGGGGAGAGGAGACTGCCCCGGCGGGCAGAGGACCGTCGCTTGCTCGACGCGCGCGCGTCGCCCTCGGCGACAAAGTCGTCCTTCGCCAGCTGGTCGAAGCTGACGGTGCGGAAGTGTGACTCGGCCCACTGCAGCAGCGTGTCCACCGAGCCAGCCACCGAGCCGCCCCGCCCCGCGACGAGTCCGGCCAGCACCGCCGCCTCCCGCTCCTCGGCGGTGGAGCCGGTCTTGCAGAGGGCGGAGAGGGCGGCGGCTCGCACTTGCGGCTCGAGAAAGCAGGGGTACGAGAGGAGGGAGAGGCCGCCGAGCAGGACGGGCATGAGGTGCTCGTCAGAAGCCGGGTCCTCTCCCGCCGCCCGAAGCGGGAGGTAGGCGAGAGTGGCACAGCCGGCGAGGCCGCCCGCGTACCGCGCCACGTCACAGTGCAGCAATAGCGCGCGGCGCGGGGAGTAGCTTCCCTGCCTCCGACGCCACCACACCGCGTCGACGAGGACGCTGCAGAAGGCCAAGCAGACGGCCGAATCGATCGCCGCGATCGCGAAGCAGATCTCAGAAAGACCCTCGTCCATGAGGTGTGTGCGCCAGCCGGCGAAGGCCATCAACAGGCTCGCGAAGGCCACAAGGAGGGTGTTTGCTGCCACCATCCCCAGTACCATTCTGGAGTCCGATGGGCGGATGGAGAGGATGGCCAAGCAGACCGCCGGCGGGCAGAGCGCCATCGGGAGCACTGGGCTGCCGAGGGCCTGGATCGGCCATATGCGGTAGACCAGGGAGAGGATGAGCGGTGTAAAGGCCCAAAAGAAGGATGAGATGCCGAGCACCTGCAGCAGCATCTGCACGCGCACCCGGATACGTCGCCGTGCCGCGCCGGCTCGCGAGAGCTCCTGCCTGGCGAGTGCCACATGGCGGGCGGCCCCGCCTTCGCCCCCTCGAGGTTGCGCTCGCAGCTGCTGCTCGCGGTGGCGCCCAATCCCGCCCTGCCTGGTGTCCTCTTTGGCTGCCGCGTAGCTGTCGCGCATGCGGAGAGCGCCCCAGCCACACAGCAGGGCGAGAGTGAGCACCGAGCAGCCGAGCAGATAGATACACCCACCAAAAAGGCCTCGCCCCCGGGTCGAGGCGCCGCGGCCCGAGAGGTGCATCCAAGCTTCTGCGGCGAAGCTCTCGCTCAGCACAGCTCCCTTCTGGCACAGGCAAGGGAGCCGCCTTTCGCAACCGACGTCGCTCCACCCGCCGCCAGGGCTGGCGGCGACGCAATCCTGCATTTCGAGGAGATCGTCGGGCTCGCTCGGCAGCCAGTTTTCATACGAGGCGTTGCAGTCGAGCGTCGCCGGCCTCCATCCGACGGAGGCGCCTCGGTCGTTTGGCCACTGATGATGGCCCAAGAAAATCGTCAGACCGGCTGTGCGATCAGCGACGAACGTTGAGGCCTCCGCTGAGTCCACGCAGGCCGGCGCGACCGGCACTCCCTCCTCCTGCGAGAGGTCGGCGCACGCTGTGAGGCAGCCGAGGTGCGAATGGCGCGAGCTCGTGACGTAGTAGGACCGGTTTCCAGGGGCCCAGTCGAGCCACACGCCTGTCGGACGCCCGGGTCGCGAGGCAAGCACGCGTGCGAGCGAGACGAGGGAGATGGTGGCGCTGACAGCGCAGAGAACGATGAGGAGGGAGGGTGCCATGTGACAGGAGCAGCGAAGGACGCAGCGAGTGCAGCAGGCTGCAGCGAGCGCAGCAGGCTGCAGAGTGCAGCAGACTGCAGCTACTCGAGTAGGTGCGCGCGTGTCGTTCGCCGAGCTCCTTCCGGGTCTCGCGAGAATTTGAATTCTTTTTGTCGAGGTTCTCGAGGTGGATATCCTTTGGCCGCGTTGGGTAGCGAGGATTGGTGTGACGCGATCCACGCAGGCGTGTTTTCTGGCGGCCGACCGTCAGTGCACGGAGTTGCCCCTTCTCCGACTGCCCCGGCTAGTTCCCGAGGTCGTCGGGTGTGATCCCTTCGCCGCCCGAGACCTAGCGCGGGTGGGTTGGAGGGGGGCTCGCCCCGTTCCTCCCCATCGGGCCGCGTGAGCGGCCACGCCTCGCAGATTCGTTTTCGCGCCTGGGTCAGGCGCGCGGGGCATCCCCCGGGTCGCTCGACCAGCGATCCGAAGAGTGGCCGCTATGCGAATGAAAGAGCGGGGCCCTCGACGCCTCAGTCCGGCCCTCCGAGGGGGGAAGGGAAGTGCGGGGTCCCCACGGGCGCCTCAGTTCGGCCCTCCCGAGGGGGGGAGGGGAGCAAGGGGGTGGGGGGATTGGGGTGGTGGGGAGGGGTCTCGGTTTTATGTGGCTAAAACTTGC